CTCCTAAAACAAATATTTAGGCTTGGCAGTGTAACAGGATACAAAGTTAATACTAAAAAATCAATAGGATTTCTGTACATCTATAAACTCAATGAGAGGTAAATCAGGGAAACAATACTGTTTACAGTAGCATCAAGAAAAAGGAAATATTTAAGAGTTAACCAAGGAAGTTAGAGATATCTTCAGTGAAGATTGTAGTATTCTCCAAAGTAGAATGGAGAGGTTATTGGAAAATGGACAGATATACCCTGTTCCTCGATAGGCAAAATCAATGTAGTGAAAATGGCCATACTTCCAAAATGGTTACATAGATTTAATGCAACACCAATGAAAAGACCCATAATGTTCCTTACAGACCTGAAGAAATCAATCATAAAGTTCAGAGGGAGGCAGAAGAGATCCAACATAGCCAAGACAGTTCTGGACAATAAAGGAAAGTTTCAGTGACAAAAGTAGCAGCGTTTTGGCATAAAAATAGACTTATGGACCAACAAAACAGAATAGAAGGTGCACAGACAACTGCAGGCATACATAGCCAAATATGTTTATGGGAAGAAAGATAGCTTCTTTAATGAATGTGGGAAAACAGGCTGAAGGTTGAATTTAGACCCAAATCTCTCACCATGGCCTAAACTAAAGTCACAATGGATCAAAGATTTAAACATTAGAACAGAAATACTTAATTTTCTGGAAGCTAAAATAGGTAAAACTCTTAACTATTCGTGTAAAAACAGATTTTCTGAAAAAGAAAAGTCTTTGGTTGTGTAAGAAATAATACCAAGAAACAAAGAATTAAATTAGCGGTTAGGAAACCGCTAATCTAGTGAAAGACAACCTACAGATGGAAAAAAAAATATTAGCCAGCTATACCTTAGATGAAAGAGTATCTAGTATATATAAAGAACCAAAGAAATAGACTCCTCAAATTTAAAGACCCAATTTAAACGGGCAACTAAAATGAGCAGACACTTCTCAGATAAAGAAATACAAATAGCCAAAAACACATGAAAAATGTTTACCATCACTGCCCACTTGAGAAATGAAAAATGACACAACACTTAGATTCCACCTCATTCCACAAAAAATGGCTACCTATGGGGCCGGCCTTATAGCTCAGTGGACTAAAGCACCTGCTTAGGCAGAGCGCAGCAGCCAGGGTTTGATTCCCCAACTCTGGGGTGTGCTGAGACAGTGATTGAGACTGGGCGTGGTGGCGAGCTCCTGTAATCCCAGCATTTGGGAAGCTGAAAGCAGGAGAATCACTATGAGTCTGATCTATGTAGTGAGACCCTGTAGACCCTCTAGACCCTGTCCTAAATACAGAAAAGCAAAAAGAAAATGGCTACCTTTAATAAATCAATCAGTGACAAATGCTGGTGAGACTGTGGGGAGAAATAAATCCTTCATTGTTGGTAGGACTGTAAACTGATAACAACAACTGTGCAAGAGATCCTTAAAACACTAAAACTAGAAATTCCATTTGATCCCATTCCCCTTTGAGGTATCTTCCAAAAAGAGTTAAGGACATCACAACACAGTGATGTATAGATACCTGTGTTTGTAGCAGCACAATTTGTGATAGCTAAACCTTGGAAATAGCCTATATTTTCATCAACAGAAGAATGGATAAAAAATGGTATTTATACTCAGTGGAGTACTACACTGTCATGAAAAGGATACATGGTTATTTATAGGAAAATAAGTATATCCTGAGACCATAATGTTAACTGAAATAATGCAAACATACAAACTTAAATATTACATGGTTTCCCTTCTATGAAAAACTTTCTTTATATATGAAGTACAAAATAAAAGTGGGAAAAAAGAGAGCAAAAATGTGTTGTAATTCAGTGTGGGCAATCTATCCAAAACTATACCTTGATTTAGTAAAATTGTATTATATGTTTTATATGTTCTTTAGTTTATTAGTCTGTTTTCAATGTATATCTGCTATAATCAACATTTTTTATGTACTTGGTACAGGGTCTTATGCAACTTGTGCTTGTAGTGATCCTCCTGTTTTCAGTCTCCCTAACACTGGGATTACAGGCATGCACCACTGTAGGCAGTCTAGATGCATCCAGAGCTAGCATGTGGTGCTGGGGATTGAACTGTGGTCTCAGAACTTGCCTAAGTGGTGCTTAGTCTACTGAGCTATCTTGCTGGTCCTCTGCCAAAATTAACTTTATAAGGTCTAATAAAACAAATAAATGAATCTTGTGCAGTAAAAGTAAAAGGGAGGTGGAGGGAGGGGGGAAAAGAAAGGAATTAAAATGAGTTATGTAAAAATCCTCTACGGCGAATGTAGTCACTATGTACTACAAATATGTACTGATAAAAGTAAAAATTATAATATGTATGTCCAAGAGCAGAACAAAAGAAAGCATCTTACATAGGAAAATGCAAGATTTTCTCAGAAATGTATTTATGGAATTTGGACATTAAGATCCTCAATTACTTACAATGACTTTAAAATCATTTTATATTTTATATATAATAGAAATTTAGCATGACATCATTTTTAAAGACTCTAAGATAAGGCATAATGTAATGTATGTTATATTTGGATTTGTATTTCCTTTGTGACGGTGTATTTTGTTTCATAGAATTTAATTTAGACAAAAACTGTTGAAGTCACTCTTGTCCTTATAATTTTGTCAATGAATTTTTATTTTTGCAATAAATAAAGAATGTTTCAAACAACCAATTTTATGGTCAGAAAAATTTTATGGTCTAAAATTTCAATCAATCCCTATGTGTTCACTTGTAAGATAAGTATAAACTACATCCTAGATGCAGATAAACTACTGATTAACTGGATATTATGTGCTATTTTATAATTTGTATCAAATAGTGTAATACAGTCCTTCAATTATTTTGGGCTTCAGGTTATTTTACAGGTGTTCTCTTGATTTTTTTATATTAGATAAAATATATGATAAAAATATTACTTCCTTAATACATAACATGTATAATATTTTGAAATATAAAAATAATTCAATCATGTTTAAGTATATTTATCTCACCTAAAATGCACACTTTAGGAATTACTTTGTTAATGACTTTATTGTGTGAAATGTTTTTCTGTGCTATGAATTTTATTTAGCATTATGGATCACTACATAAAATTATATTTATTTGCAATTTGTCAACAATTCTGTTATTTCCTTTTATTTTACAGAGACTCATAGTTGCATATCTTCTGTTATCTGTTTTTTGGGGAAGGGATAGAATTGAACACAAGACCTTGCACATGCCAGGCAGGCGCTTGTTCCACTGAGCTATATCCCCCACCCTGTCTTCTTTACTACCTGCCCACCACCCTCACTTCTACCTCCAGCAACCTGGGCCTTCTTTGCTCTCTCCTGTCACAAATCTCCAATCGTGTGGAGCGCTGCATGTGGCTAGCTTTTGTCCTGCTAATGGGATCCAGTGCCTTTCACCTACTTCAGGACTTAGCTTTCTTTTCTGCTTATTCCTTCTTTTCTTTTGGGTTATACTCATAAGCACATAGATGTGTATAATACCTCATGATTTTAAAAAGAAGCAACTTGAACCCTACATCCTTTTTCCTGGTCTCTGCATATTCCTTGAGAAAAGTTTGTTGCCACTTTGCCATTTCCTACTCTTGCTGTCAAGAGGCTGTCACCTGGCAGGTCTAGTGAATGGTTCTCAGTCATGCGCATCCCCCTGGCAGCACTGTCACAGTTACTCATTCCTTCTTTCGGGGATCCCTTCCTTCCCTTGACCCCTGGGCAACAGATCTCTCTGTCTTGTTGCTTTCAACATTGTTTCCCTCTCCCTCTGCTTTAAACTTTGAAACAATACAGTGTTTTATGGTTTAGTCCAAGTAATCTTTATTTTTCTTGTTACATTCACTGCCTAGCTGCTCTCTTGCAGTGCTATGACTTTAAATACCATCTCTGTTCAGAGAATGCTTGAATACAGATCGCCTCCTTGCCCTTCCCCCTGAACCCTTGATATGTGTATCCAGCTTTCACTTCAGTCAGATTTGAGGGGAACAAATCCACATCCTTGATTTCTCTGACCACCAGGCCCCTCTGTATTTCTTGTTCCCACTCAATAAGCGCCTGTCTATCTCTGCCAAAAACCTTGAAGTCATTCTTGACTTCTCTCTTTTTCCAGTGCCTGACAGCTGGTTCATCACAGAATCCTCTGAGCTTATTTACACCGTGCCCAGAAACCACCCATTTCTTCTAGCCTCAGCCATGACCCACTGCTCAAGCTACAATTTTTCTGTCCTGGTCTATTGTGGAACTTGCTGACTAGATTCTCTGATTCTGTTTGTTCTGATGGCATCTGTATCTTCATAAATCTGTTTTGTGTCAGTCATCTTCAAACCTATCCTTGGCTTGAACCCAATTCAGAAGACAGTTTCTTTGCTCATCTGGTGCCCAGCTAGCTTCCTGCCTCACTTCCACCCTCATCTCCAGATTCTCCAGCTGTGTGGCCTTTCTGCTTTCTCATAGTTGCCAAAGACTACCATGTGCTAGGGACTTTGCATTGCTTCCTGTCAGCCCTGGATACACTTCTCCCATAGATAACATGGCACCGTCCTTCACATCTTTCAGGTTTCTACTCAAATCATTTTGACAGTGTGCCTGTCAGTCAAGGATGCTATATATAAAATAGCACCAACAACTCTGACAATCTTTCATTTTTAGTCTCTCTTTACCTCTTATCCTGGTTTATTTTACTTTATAGAACTTAACACCATCCCTGCCACAATGGAAATTCTGAGATAGGGACCTAAACAATTTCAACTGTACCAGTGCTTGTAACACAGGAAGTGTCCAGTTATATTTTCACCCACTATGATGGTACTCATTAAAATTTTAACAACATATGATAAATATTACTATTTAATTTATATTTGCAATACAACTAATTATCAAATTCTCTGAGACATACCCCTTTAAATTTTGTTTAGTCAGTTTAGTAAAAGAGATGACATAAAGACTTTAAAATTTTTATTATAGGTATGAATTGATACAGAAGGGAGTAACTCAACTGAGAACTTCTCGGAGTGTTCCAGATGTCTACGCTCAGATTATGCTTTTAGAAAATGAGAATAAAAATTTGAAGAAAGACTTGAAACACTTCAAACAGGCAGCTGAGTATGTTGTTCTTTCTTTTCCTCGTAGACTAAAAAATGGAGAATTGAATAAGGCTGTATAAGAAATTTAATTCTGGAGAGCAAAATTATGTTTAAGACCTAGTTGTAAAGAACCTGAGATGTCTCACTAGCAAATTAATTGAACAGATGACCAAACTGTCACAATTTCCTGACTTATTCACTAACAGTGAAATACAGATCACTTGGTTAAATCTTTTCATGGTTTTTGAAATTTCCTCCTGTGAGAATAAGCTAATTTCAGAAATAATAATGAAGTTATAGAAAGCAAGTCAGAAAGAGTCTGTATTAGGAGAAGAACCTCAATATTTTTAAATTCCCCAGAAGAAATAATGTGTTGTTCAGGATATACTCTATGTAGGTTCACCGGTTGTAACAAATGGGCCATTTGGTGGGATGTATTGATAATAGCAAAAGCTTTGCCTGTGTGAGGATAGGATTCATGTGGTACCCCTGACGACCATCTGATAAATTTTTCTGTAAATCAGAAACTACTCTAAAAATACAAAGCAGAAAATATAGGCTATGCATACTCTCAGCACTCAAGGCCAACCAGTACTACAATTTTATTAAATATATTTTTGGATTTTTCTTAACACATATATATTTTTTAAAGAAAAATTATAATAATTGCTTATATCATATTTTATAGTTTGCTTTTTTCTTTTGGTAACATGATAAGCATATTTTTATGAATACAAACTTTACCCTAAAAATTCATATTAAAAATTTAAAAAATCCTTAAAAACTTTATTTCATAATTGTCTGCATACATTTATATACACAGCAAAAATCTAAGCTATATGCCAAATCTTTCCATATCTTTTTCTTCTTTATAATTAATAAAAGTCATGGACATTTTGATGAACAATATTAAGTAAATAGCCAGTGTATTCTAGCAAAAGATATGTGAATACGTTGACTTGGGGTGATCTACTTGTGTTATGTGGAAAAAACAACTCTTTGCT